CCCAGGTCGGGCTGGGGAAATCCACAGAGCAGGGGGCTCCCACCACCACAGGGGCTTGGAGAAACTGCGTGGTCTGGGTACCCCCTTGGGTGATATCCTGGGCCCAGAGCAGTCAATCTGGGGGGAGGAGCTACTGAGGAGGGAGGGGCTACTTGGGGGAGGAGCTATTGAAGAGGGAGGGGCTACCATTGAAAATGTTCTTGGGGGAGATTTTTAAAGGCCACACAGGAATAAGATTTCACCCCTTTCTGCTCTGAAACCACCACCACCAGTTGCGGCTGGAAGCTCCGTGACGCTCAAGGTGGTCACATCACAGGGGGGGGCAGGCAGGCTCCAGCGACTTGGGACCCAGCCTGAAACTCTGGATGCCTGGGTTCTATTCCCAGCCCTGCAGCTGGGACCCTTCCGTGCCTCAGTTTCCCCTCCCAGCTTTTATCTAGTTAGTTTTGGGGCAAAGACTGTCTCTCACCAGGTGTCTGTGCCATGCCTGGCCCCACAGGGACCATGCACGGGCGGGCGATGGGTGCACGGGGGCTGCTGGGAGAGGGGCAGGTGCTGGCGGTTCGGGCCCTGGACTAGGACTCAGAAGATCCAGGTTCAACTCCCAGCTCTGCCACTGACTCCCTGTGTGACCTTGGGCGAGTCGCTGCCCCGCCCTGTGCCTCAGTTTCCCCATCTCTCCAATGGGGATAATGATCTTTCCTTTGTCTGTCGAGAGGGTACACTCTTCAGTGCGGGGCCTGTCTCTTGCTCTATGACTGCACAGGGCCCCGATCCAGTCGGGGGAGGGGTATTGGGATCCCGGGGCAGGAGATCTGGGAGCCCCCCCTTGCTGTGGAATCAGCCCCCCCATGCCCGGTCTAACCTCTCCAGGATGTCCAAGGACAGGTTCTCCAGCGAGTCCCCCCGCTGGATCATGCGGTGGTCGGGGCGCTCCAGCAGAGATTCCTGCAGCCCTTCCACCTCCTTGGCCATGGCAGCCCAGACCTCCAAGATCTTCCCGTCCACCAGCCGCTCGAACATCTCCCCCTGGGCTGGGCCGCAGGCGCGGCTCAACTCCTCTGTGGAGAGCAGAGGGGGGGCGCTTTACACCCACTCAAACATTACCATGTGGATTTGAGGGGAGGACCTATGGATGGGGGAGGAGCTATAGAGGAAGGAGGGGCTCTTGATGGGGGCGGGGCTATTTGGGGGAGGAGCTACGGAGAAGGGAAGAGCTAGAGCGGCTATCTGGGGAGGAGCTACTGAAAACGTTCTAGGCGGAGGTTTTAAAGGGGAATTAGGAGCCCAGCGGCCCTTGGTGCCTTTGACAATCCCAGCCCTTCTGGGAAATGATGCAGGCTGGGCCGGTGGTTCAGGCCCCAGGTTGGGACTCAGGAGTTCCAGGTTCTCGTCCCAGCTCTGCCACTGACTCCCTGTGTGAGCTACTGTCCCTCCCCGTGCCTCGGTTTCCCCATGTCTACAATGGAGACAACGCTTTTTCCTTTCTCTCTCTATGGTGAAATATTCAGTGCAGGACCTGTCGCTTGCTCTATGACTGGGCAGGGCCCCGTTCTCGGTCGGGAGCAGGGAACTGTGCAGCGCCTGGCGCCACGGAGGCCCCCGATCTCGGTCCGGGGGGTGTCTGTGCAGCGCCCAGCACAATGGAGACTGGAGATAATCCCCTGCTGGGAGAGCTGGCTCTGACGGGGACTGAGCAGTGTCTCACCTTCCAGCTGCTGTATCTTTCGCTGCTGCAGGCTGCTCTCCTGCTCCAGCAGGGAGACCGAGTGGCTCAGGGCTTCGAAGGCCTGTCACAGAGACACGCAACAGAGGGGTTCACGGACCGAGCCCTGACACCCAGCCCCGCCGCCTCTGGTTATTTCCCAGGGCCTCTGAGTGTAGATGGAAAGGGAGCTGGGCTGGAGAGGCAGTGGGGTTTAGCGCATGGGGCACCTGCCGGGTGGCCTTGAGCAAATTGTTTTGCACTATGTGCCTCAGTTTCCCTTCCCCCCTTTTGTGTGTTTACATTGTAAGCTGGAGCAGGGACTGGCTCTCATTAGGTGTCTGGGCAGCACCCGGGCCCTGATCCTGGTCGAGGTCTGTGCAGCCCAGTGGGGAACCCTAGGCACTACCATAATGCACGTAACAAATCCCCTCTCCCTGCTGCGGTTACCTTGGCCTGGGCATGGAGTTGGCTTTTGATGATCTCCAGCTCGTTTTTTAGGATCTTCTGGGAATCTGGGAGCATCGCCTGGATCATCCCTGCCACAGAGCAAAGGCGGCTGGGGGTGAGTGGGGAGCATGGGGATGGAGCCCGAGGAAGGACTTAAAAACATGCCGAGCCTGCTTCTCTGGGCCACCCTGGCTCTGCACTGGCCTAGGGGGCAGATTGGGGTACACTGCGCTGTGGTTGTTCTCTGCTCCCCAGGGGCCCATGGACGGGGCCAAGCACGAGTTAGACCTAACACCGGTGTCTTGACCAGGTCCCCCCTCAATCCCACACCGTGCCCTCCTCCCCACCCGGCTTGGGACACTGCCCCTCAGCCTGACCCAAACCCAAAGCCAGCTCATCTGCCCCCTTATGGGGTCCACCCTGGCTCCTCCTACCACCCCTCAATCAGGGCTAGGGAGGCAGGCCCACTCTCCAGAGGGCATCCCACCCCACTGCCTGCTGAGGAGGGGGTGTGTCTTGGCTGGCCACACCCACTCGCTGCCCTCCAGGTCTAGTGACTCTCATCCCCACAAAGGATCAGCCAGGTCTGGCCCCCGCCCCCACCACAGAGATGGGATCGTCTCTCACCATTTGTCTCAAAGGCCTCCGTCTCCAGCTGGTTCTGCAGGGAGGGGATCAGAGGGGGCCGTCAACCAGTACCCACAGCACTGCTCTTCCCGTTAGCCCCTGTGAGCTGGGGGGGGGGGGGGCGGCAGGGATGATTGTCTAGGGGTCTGAGTGATGGACTCAGCCCATGGGAAGGAGGCTGGGAGTGGCTCAGGTATGTATGGGGTGAATCCTGTGTCCTTTGGGGGGGACGACAGGGACCCCATTCTCATTGACGCTCAAGCCCCTTAATAGGCGCTCTGGGAGCATAAAGGGGGTGGGAAGAGGCCCCCTGGACTATCCCTCTTGGCAAGGGGCCTCCCGGCTGGTGTGAAAGCAGAGTAAGGGGGACGGGATCGGGGGCAGGCCCAGAGCTTGGCCATTTCCCTGCTCCCTGGGCAGGGCACGAATTAGAGCAGCCTCGAGGCTGCTCTCGATGTCACTGGAGACAGGAAGAAGAACAGCGCAAAGAGGGTTTAGAGCCATCACCCTCTGTCTGAGCCCCAAACTAGGGAGTGGGGTGCTGGGGAGCACGATGGGGCAAGGACCAGGTTTCGCTTTCCGTCCCAAACAGCGCGGAGTCACTTACCAGCCCTGCATTGCTGCAGGCCCTGGATAAGTAGCAGCTGGGTGCATTACCCCTATTCTTGTCCTCCTTGGAGACCGTGATCAAAGTGGTCTCCTGGAAACAAAGGGGGAGAATTCAGCTACCCACATACCCCCGTCTGCCCCTCCCCCGGGAAAGGGGAGGGGTATCTGCTCGGTTTGGCAATGGAAAGGGGATGCTGTCTGGCAACCTGCCTTCCTGCAGTGACCTCTGCCTTGCAAAATCAACACACCATTATACAACCTGCCAAGGGCCTAGACTGGACTAGCAGGGGGCTGCAGGTCGGGAATGAGGGGTACCGGCAGAGCTGGTGAGCGGGATACCAGGGTCGATGGGTCCTGGTCTGACCTGGGGCTAGGAGATGGGATACTAGGGTCGATGGGCGCCCAGGGGGTGGGATATGGGGGTTGATGCTCCCCAGTGGGCAGGATACCAGGGTCAATGGGCCCCCAGGGGGTGGGATATGGGGGTTGATGCGCCCCCAGTGGGCGGGATACCAGGGTTGATGGGCCCCCAGGGGGTGGGATATTAGGGTCAATGTGTCCCTGGTGGGCAGGATACCAGGGTCGATGGGCCCCGCTCTGCTCCAGTGCAGCGATCCCGGCTCCCCCCGGATCTGGGCAGGGGTGGGTCTGAACCCCGGGTCTGTGCGAGGGCCGGCGGTGCCCGCCTGGGGCCGGGGTGATGGGCTGGGTCAGGGCTCAGCCCGGCTGCCCTGGTACCTTGGTGGTCAGGACCTGCCCCTTGAGCGCATCCATCGCCCCCGGGTCTCTGCCCCGCTGCCAGAGGCCCACGTGGACCCCAAAGCGCGGGGGAGGGACAAGGGGGGGCGGAGTTTGACCCACCGAGGCCGCCACACCCCCCCATGTAACAAAAACAATCACAAAGGCCAAGGGGCGTGGCTTTCTAGCCCCGCCCCCTGCATGATCTCATCCCCCCCTCAGTCCCTATTGGCCTGGAGCTCCCCTTGCGAGGTGATTGGGCAGGAGCCAGGAAGGGGGTGGAGCCTTGAGGGCAAGGGGGCGGGATCAGAACGCCACAACAGCTGAGCCCGGGCCGGAGCAGCCCGCGGGCGTGGGAGGTAGGGACCCGACCCCCAGCCCCGATCTGTGCAGGGGGCGGGAAAGGCAGGAGTGGGGCAAGGAGCACGTGTGGGGCCGGGGGAGCAGCCACGCAGAGGGGGGGCTCCCATAGGTCCCTGGCTTGCCGGGTTGGCTCTCGTGGGGCCCTGAGGCTGGGCAGGGACTTTGCCCCCCTCTCCCCCCACCCGGCGATCATGTGCAAGGCTGGGAACCTCCCGGTGCCCGACCCCACGCTCCCGGGCGCTGCTCCCAGCCCTGGCCGGAGGGGGGAGGGGGCCAGGACTCCTGGGTTCCCTGCCCAGCTCTGTGGCTGGCTCGCCAAGTGACCTTAGCCCTGGAGTCAGTGGCAGAGGTAGGAAGAGAACCCAGGCGTCCTGAGGCCCCCACCACGGGTCTCCATAGATCTGTCTATCGTGCTACGCCCCCGGCGATTCTAGGGGCAGGGCGGGGCAGCGTTTCTCTATCTGGGCCATTGGCTGTGGGAGCCATGATCCCACACCAGGCTTCTGCTCATCCCCCTACAGCCCTCCCCGCCCCGCCCCCTTATCTCCACTTGCCAGCCCCGGTGCTCTCATGTACTAGCGCTGAGTGATCCCGGCCTCCCTGTTGATCTAGCCCCTGGCTGCTCGGCCATCTTCACCCCCTCTCGGGTCGGTTTTGTAAGTCGTTTTTATTGCTCTGTGCCTCAGTTTCCCCACCTTTAAATTGGGTGTGATGACCTTGCTGGGAGGGGAGTGTGGTTTAGCAGCTAGTGCCCGGGACTGGGACGACCTGGGTTCCGTTCTCCCAGCAGACCAGTGGCAGAGCTGGGAACTTCCCTGCTCTGTGCCTCGGTTTCCCCATGTGGGATATGGGGATAATCGTGACGTGCTTTGAGATCTCTGGCTGGGAAGAGCTCAGGATTGTTTTATTACTTGTCTATTTAGACTGCGCTCTTAGGGGCAGGGATCATCTCTTGCGGTGTCTGTGCAGCGTCCGACACAACAGGGCCCTGATCTCAGCCAGGATACCGCACCTATGCCTGGTCTCGTTACTCCGCAGTGACCCAGAGAGCGCTGGCAGCGGCCGTCCCTGCCCCCCGGAGCTCATTGTGGGGTCTCCCCCACCTCTCTGCCTCCAGGTCTGTAAACGCAGCAGAGATGCCGATGGAAGGGGAGCCCAGCAGTCTGGCCAAAGTCGCTCAGCTCTTCATCCTGTCTCTGGCCTGGGGGATGCAGATGTGGGTCACCTTCATCTCAGGTGGGACGTGCTGCCTGGGTCTCTGGGAAGGGACCTCCTGGCTCTCAGAGCTGGGAATAGAACCCAGGAGTCTGACACCCAGCACCTCCCCTCCTGTAACCATTAGACTGTACTCCCTTAGAACCAGGAGTCCTGGCTCCCTGCTCTAACCACTAGACCCCACTCCCCTCCCAGAGCCAGGGATAGAACCCAGGAGTCCTGGCTCCCAGCTCCCCCGCTCTAACCACTAGACCCCACTCCCCTCCCAGAGCCAGGGATAGAACCCAGGAGTCCTGGCTCCCAGCTCCCCCGCTCTAACCACTAGACCCCACTCCCCTCCCAGAGCCGGGGTAGAACCCAGGCATCCTGGCTCCCAGCCCCATGGCCCTAATGCTCTCTGCGTGCCTTGATTTCCTCCTCTCTCCTTGGCTTAGGGTTTGTGCTGATCCGGAGCGTGAGCCGACACACCTTCGGCCTGGTCCAGAGCAAACTCTTCCCCTTCTACTTCTACACCCTGGTGGCCTGCGCCGTCCTCAACCTCTCCATCTTCGCCTGCTACCACCCCCGAGAGCTGCTGACCACCGGGGAGACCCTGCAGGTACCATTGAGGGGCCAGGCACAGCCCCGGCCCCTCGCGAGCCGGCCATCCCCGGGCGGGGGGGTCGCGCCCCTTCATGTCTGCTCCCTGCCATCGGTGACTTCCAGGGTTAGCTGAGAATGGGAAAGCGGTTAAAGTGCAGGATGCCTGGGCTCTGGGAGGGGAGTGGGGTCTAGTGGTTAGAACAGCAGGGGCTTGGTGTCAGGACGCCTGGGTTCTATTCCTGGTGTTACTGGCTTTGCCCGTTACTTTGGGGGGCGCTCATTTATTAGGGTCACTCTTCTGGGGCGGGGGGGTGTTCTGTACTTCTATCAATGTGCTGCTTGTGTCACTTGTGTTTTCATATGGAGCTCTACTTCTCCCTGCTGCAAGTCCCCTTCCAATGGAGCTATCCTGCAGGACCTCGGTTCCTTGGGTGACCAGACAGCAAGTGTGAAAAATCAGGAGAGGGGGTGGGGGGTAATAGGAGCCTATATAAGAAAAAGACCCAAAAATCGAGACTGTCCCTATAAAAGCAGGATATCTGGTCACCCTATCGGTTCCCCGGGGCTGGGTTCCTCCAGCCCCAGGATCAGACGAACACACATTAACAGAGCGTGTCGGAGAGGACCGGGTTAATCAGTACTTCCAAGCTGACCCCTTATATGTCCCTGAACTCAGTAGTCTGGGTCGAGCAGCACTTCCAAGCTGCCACCCTCGTATGTCCCAGGTTCAGCACGTCTCTATCCCCACTGTCACGTTACAATTATTCTGGTAGTAACCCGCTGGATGAGCAAACCCCACTGGATTTTGGGGCACTGCAGGGATCTTTTAGCTTAGGTACGAGGCGCGTCGCTGCAGAGCGAATGGGGAAACCAAAAAACACCCACGACGGGGGGAGAGAGAGAGAGAAGCAACCAGCTTAATCATGAAAGTTATTTATTGCCAGGTAATAACCACACGGGAGCCAAACAAACAAAACAGTGATGGTATTAAATCCAACTTAAACTTGATTGTCAACGTCCGCTTTAGAAACTGTAACTGGGGGTGGCCAACCTGAGCCTGAGAAGAAGCCAGAATTTGCCAATGTACATTGCCAAAGAGCCACAGTAATACGTCAGCAGCCCCCCATCAGCTCCCCCCCTGCTCCCAGCACCTCCCACCCACCAGCAGCCCCCCATCAGCTCCCCCC